GTACAAACACTCCATAAAGGCCAATTCCTTTGCTGCACGTAAAGTACCTTTCTCCGCCAACTGACCCGTCATTCTTTCCCTTTGCTTCATCTAGTTCTACACCAATCCAACGTCCAGGTTTAAACGATGTGGTTCCGTTGAAACGGACTATTCCGCGCCCGATGGAAGAAACAGTGACAATAGTACCGAGTGGAACATTGGACGCGTCGACGGGGGTAGACATTCTGGCCTTAGGGCTGCATAACGCGTTGTCGTCGTTCGTGTAAAAACGTGCTGCATTGGCCGTTTCTCGGCATGTTTTTTATCTTATCATAACTTTTATCTTTTTTACGCACCGCCTCGGCCCGTTTCCGGAGCACCACGTTTGTAACACGTAGCTATTCGATTTGTTTCTTCATAGAGTATTCTTGAATATTTTACACCATGGCTTCAGCCATTGGAATCCGCGTTGAACTCCCAGCATACGGGTATTCATTTACCATCACTACAGAGTTGTCGTCTGCTACAATCCTCTCGCTCAAATATCTGATATCCGACACATGTCCTGGGGCTCCACAAGTCGAAGGACAGAGGATAATCTGGCGTGGAAGGGTACTCGGGAATGAGGAGAGAGTAGCAGAATTGTGGCCCATGGCGGCTGATACACCGATAGTTGTGCATCTGAGTGTTCATCCGTCAGCGTGGCGGGATTCACCACCAGTATTGGAGGCAAGGAAAGGGAAAGAGAAAGATTCGAAACCGGAGCCGACTCGGACAACTCATGCAGTACCAGTGTCGCCTTCGTACATTCTCTCCAAACATCGTCAAGCTCTCTGCCAGCTCACACATGAACCATCCACATTCGTTCAGAGCAGCACTGACCGAGAACTTGCTGTGAAATTTGTCAATTCACATGGATTCATATGGCCTGCGGCTTTGGATATCGAGTTTGGAGTGGCCGAGCAAGATGGTGTAAGATACCAGAGTGAAATTATCGAGTTAGTTTCTCAGTTGTTCTACGATAACCGGCTAACTTTGTTCTAGTGGCAGGCCTTATCTCCGTATCGTCAACCCCAATGCTAGACCCACACCAGCGCAGCTCCAAGCGTTCGAGGTGCTTTCGTATACACTCGAGCTGCTCAAGCTACCGGGGAAGCCGAGTCAACAGAATCGAGTTGCCTCCAGTCCCAGTAGACCTCCAGTTCCCGCTCATCTCAATACACTGTTGCAACAAATGGGTTTACCACCTTTGAACAATGCTCAAGAAATGCCAGCTGCAGACAACGCATGGAGAGTATATCAAGCTGACGGCAATGTCCTCGCTGCACAACCACCTGCAGTAAATGCTCAAGTTGTCCAAGTAAACCTTCGTCCACTTATCATCCCTATTCTCATGCTTTCACTCCGCACGCTTCTACTTTTGTACTTTGTGGCCCCTGCGAGAAAACCGTTTTTGGCGCTCATGATACTGGCGTGGGTTGGGTGGGAGATTTGGGGATGGGTGGTTGGAAGGGGAGAACAAGGTGCAGCAGATGCGAACGTAGATGCCGCCCCTCCTCCTGTCCAACAAGGTCAGAACGAAGCTCCACCTCAGCAGCGACCGCCGCAACCTCAGCCTCAGGCCGACAATGTACCCCCTAATGCTGCTCCCGCTCCCCCCAATGCTGCTCCTTCTATATTTGACACTCTCGCCCAATTCGACATTCCACAAGGTGAACTCGCTCTAAACTCGTTCAGTCTAACTCAAGGACGCCACGAAAACTATCCAGAACCTTCTGTCCTACGTAAAGCGATCTCATTCGTCGTCCTATTCTGCATCACTGCTCATCCGGCGGTATGGAATAGGCGGAGAAAGCTGTTGAGGATGAGGGAAGGAAGAGTCAGAGTCGAGATGGGCGCTCTGAGTGCAGGAGATGAAACTGCGGTCACTATCGACGCTGTAGATGCACAGGATAATGATAATGATAACCCCTCTCCCGAAAGAGAACAAGCACGCCAGTACCTCGTTTCCAAATACCTTTCTAGACCGATATGGGTACGGAGATATATGATTAGAGTCATGAGGGTTGGTAGAGGAGAGGGAGACGGCGGTTGGGTTGATGCAGAAGATTAATGATATGCTTTTATTTATTAGAAATACAGTCACTATTATCTGTCTTTTGAAAATGTTTGCAAAAATGTTTGCAAAAAAAAGCTAAGAAGAATAACACCCGCTAGCATAACCGCCGACCGCCAGCCTAAACACAACTGATTTTTTTCCGATGTACACAGGGAATTTCAGAGGAAAATCTTCGTGGAAACACAGTCGGATAGGGACAGCTGCAGTGGCTGGTGTAGCACCATGAAGAACGGAGGTTTGTGAAACTGTTCTCATTGTTGATGTGTGAAGAGCAATTACACGGTGTCAATCTAAGTATACTGACACCATGCACTTGGTCGAGACCACTTGGGTCCACGCTACTAAACATGTTTGTTGAGCACTCCAGACTGAAAGGCTGTCGTTCAGTAACGAACAGATGCACGCATTGACAGGACCACGTTATATTCTAGAGGCGAAGCTAGGCTTCAGGCAACAGGGGAATACGCGATGGTAGTAGTCGTTATACGAGGTTATCTGGGATGGTGGTCTAATGTACGAATCGTTGTATATACGGACAGTGGCAGTGCGAGAGCACGTGTGAGTATGCGCCATACTTACACAGACCACACCTTTGATTATTTTTGTGCGAGCTGGACTTTTGCATGGCAGGGTATCCAGAGCGGCCTCAGTTTTCCGGGGTCATCGACAAGTCAGCGCGCGAAATGCCACCTTCCACATGCTATGTTGCTTCTTATTCTCATTTTGATCCCCGCTGACCACGGTCGTTCTTTATTGCATGCTTGGAAGGACCGGCACGCAGACCACTTACCCTCGTTGTTCAAATTGCATTCCAGATATTTACCATCCTTCTCAAGCTTCGATCGTATTTCCGAGATATATCGGATTCTTGGTTCAGATATAAACCCCTTCTGTACCCATTCCTCCCCTCACGAAATGCGGTTTTTCAGCTTGATTGCCACAACACTACAAGTTTCTGCGCTTGCTCTGGGTACTGCTGCAGTGAATAGGCCAAATTCCACCACCACTTTATTGGTCAACGCTATAGTCGGCAAACAGAATGCGTCTTCTGTAGAGTGCTGGGCAGTTGAACCGGGTTTTCAAATCTCTCCTCAGGTATGCCTTCCGATGTATTTTGGAGCTTATTGTTCTAATAGCTTGACAAGACTGGAAACAACATTCTACAGTTGGGAAGCCTGTCAAGCGCTTCGTATAGCGTCTGGCCTAATGCTGGGGGCCCTATCGATCTCGGGTAAGAGTCACTTTGTGATATCTATGAGTCTGTAAACCCACATTTACCAGCTTCCATAACGCGCCTGCTATCCAATGGGTTGTTATGCTCATGGGTGGAGGAAATATCACATTTCCTGATCCGACCACACCCAATCTTACTGTGAGTCCAGGGGAACTTTTCATTGCCGCTGTACGTCCTCTATGTTTTACTTGCGTTGCGTTTTTTCTTAAAATGTATCAGGATGTAGCCGGAACGTCCACAGATGGCCATCGTACGGTTGGCGATTCTGGTAGTGTGGTTCTTCAGATGCCATTTGAGGAGGGAGCTATAGTCAATCACACAATTTTAAGCTATAGTCCTTGTAATTAGATATATAGATATAAACATAGGAGGTCAAAGCGATCCTTTGCATCTCGATTAGGAAGTGATCCCGCGGAAACGGAGGCAAATGTAGGTAAGAATGGCTGCTGTATCATGAGGCTCAATAATCAGAGCAGAAAATATGCCTCGATGGTTCAGATTCTATGAGGCCTGTGGCACACTAAAAGGAATAATTGGCTGTGTCAATTTGGTTTCTAGTGCTGACGTATATCGTGATTGAATTCGTAAATATAAGTAGATAATATGATAAATGGTCCGAGTCAAGTCATCCGAAAATGCTCCCAGCTAGATCGCAACTCCAAATCGATATCTAACTCCCTCTTCCCCCTCCTCCACTTCGTTGACGTCTGTGTCATTCAAGCTTGGCTGCGAATACGACGAGCCCGACGTAGCTTGTGAAGCTCCAGAGATATTCGAAGTTCTCGAGATCCCTGAAAAACGATTTAATCTCGAATTCCAGCTAGAGGCACTCGACAAATGACGAAGGGTGTGTAATATCGGATTTTGTGAAGAGGTGATAGAATTAGAGCTAGAAGGCATTGGTTTTATGCGTCCAACGGAACGTAGAGTGCGAGTTTGCATTCTGTTACTGTCATTAAGAGTTGGAGTGGACGAAGTTGAAGTGGAAGCGACAATAAACGGCGGGGGAGTAAGTGGGACAGCTGGTTCAACTTCTGGAGCTGGAGGTTGAACACTGACGCTGTTCTCCGAGTCCGATTCTGTATTGACGCTGCTGTCGCCAGCATGATCTGTATCTGCTAGACCTGCAAATTTTACTTTTGGCCCTTTCTTCTCCGAAGGAGGCCAGAGCTTCAATGGTTTATACTCGTAACCTCTCGAAAGAGGCCTTGAAAGCCTCGGGATACTACGAGTCTTTCGAGGGCGTCCAACTGCCGAAATCGTTGCATTTTTGAGCGTATTATTGTGAGTAATACGAAGAGCAGCCTGTGGAAAAATCTAGGTAAAAGTATCAGTAGAAAAGTACAGAAAGACGGACAGTTTCTCTTTCTCTCTTTTCCCTCTTTCTCTTTATCGCCCGTCCCCAAATCATCCATGCAACGACGAAAATCACAGCAAGAAATGCACCACCCAACGTCCCTCCTACGATGGCTGCTATCGGAACCGAGACTGCAGATCCATTTCGTGCCGGAGCTGTTGAACTCGGACTTGAGCTCGGAGAGACTGTCGTTGTTATCACGTCGAGCACAGCGGGCATGGCATCAAAGAAAAGAAGAAAAACATGGAGTTTTTTTTCCCAACAAATGTACGCCTCGTGTTTGGTGCGCTGCCTTCAGGCCACCAATTCAGTCCAATGTGGTATAGTGGCTAACATTGCTGTCTTTCATCGCTTGAATTTCACAGCAGCCCGGGGTTCGATTCCCCGCACTGGAAGTACTTGGTGCTTCTTTTTCCCAGTTGACGCGACGCACATGATCTATCGATAAGTTTCTGTCCAACCATCACTTGGGCCAATCGCTGATCCATCTTCGAGGCAGTTATAGCTGATAAGATTCTCAAAAGCTCGATAATCATGCCTACAATCGCGATATACAACTCGATTAGCGGTAGTGGCACTGGTCAGGTAACAACATCTCCAAGTAATATCTTGTTTATTCTAATAATTCTGCATATCAGACCTTTTTCGAATCTCATGTGCTCCCGTTCATCTCCCAAATCTCTAGTATCCACAGCACCTCTCACCCCGGACACGCTGGTGAACTCGTCCTCGACGCACTAGAACAAACACCCATATCCGAAAAACTCACTGTCATTCTCTGCTCTGGCGACGGCACTCTTCACGAAATCATCAACCATCTTTCCAGTTCCAAGCACAAAGGCACAAGGGCTGATGCCCCCCCTCCAGAAATCCGTCTTGTTCTGGTTCCTTGTGGGACTGCGAATGCTTTGTATTCCTCGTTGTTTCCTCCCAAACATCCCAAGGACATTGAAACTGTCGAGTATAAACTGCAATCTGTAAAATCCTATCTTAAAGGAACGCACTTGGTGCCCTTGACTCTCGCTATCACAACATTGTCTCCTCCTCCCAATGACAAAAAGTCACGTCCCAAAGGTTTGCGCATCTTGCTAATTACTTTATCTTACTTCTCTGACATTGTCTAGCCATCGCCTCATCTGTTGTCGTCTCTACCTCCCTCCATGCCTTGATTCTCCATACTTCTGAATCACTCCGACCCAGTATCCCCGATCTTTCTCGCTTCAAAGTCGCTGCTGCCCAAAGTATTCACAAATGGTACTCTAGCCAACTCAAACTCTTTCCTATCGCTTCTCTCGGCTACGTCCAAATCTACGACCCTTCCACCAACTCGTTCGTTCCACACCCTGACGATGACCCTGATCTAGACTCCATCGTTGACGTCGCTGGCCCGTTCGCCTACTTTCTCTCTACAGTCAACGTAGACAGACTTGAACCAATGTTTCGTATTACTCCTCTCGCCAAGGATATCACTCCTAGCGAGGCAACCTGCGATGTCATGTTGATCAAACCGTTTTCAAGCCCGACTGTATCGATGGATACAGAAGAAACCCGACAAGCCTTTGTTGCTACATCGACAGCGGTACTCCAGGCAGTGTATCAGAATGGGACCCATATCAATCTCAGGTACAATGAGAATGGAGAAGTTACTACAGAGGGCGATGGTCCATTGATCGTAGAGTACGTTCGGTGCGGGGGATGGGAATGGATTCCGGTACGAGTTTGCTCAAATTGTGCTTTTCAATGTTCATCGTACCTTGGATAGGATGACATTGACGACGATGCACACCTCATCTGCTGCGATGGTGCAATTTCCACTATTGAAAAGGGTGGACGCGCTGTATGCGTAGCAGCTACTCCACAAGCCAATGCAGGATTCTTGGTTCACGCGTGATTGTCCGTATATATACACGTGTCTTTAAAACGATTTTGTAAGTAGGTTATCTATGTATTTTCACGATTAGGCGGTGGTTTCCGGAAGAAGTGGACTAAGAGCAGCCTTGGCGTTTTTGTGGACTTCTTCAATTGGAAAAGAGCTGTCGATCTGGAACAATGTGAGCTATTGCAAGGCTAAATGCATAGGAACGTACCTCGATGACTTTACCAAGCTTCTCGTAGTGCTCGATTACAGGCATAGTCTGCTCCTTGTATGTGTCTATGGGTTGACATCAGTAAGAGCCAAAGGTTACTCAGTAGCAGTAGAGACTGACTGAATCGCTTCTTGAGACTCTCTACGTTATCATCTTCCCTTCCACTCGTCTTGCCTCGTTCAAGTATCCTCCGCAACATGATCTCTTCCGTAGTAACAAAATACAAGACAGCAGCAGCTTTCCCAACATCATGCTCAAACATTTCCGCCTGGTCCATTTTCCTCGGGAACCCATCGATGAGAAAACGGCCTTGGCCGTTGGTCCAACCAGTTCCAGATCGTTGTTGGTCCGCCAAAGCTGCCTTCATGGCATTCTCGAGCAGCTTAACAGTAACTTCCATTGGTACAATTTTCCCTTCCTTGATGCAAGTCTGGATGAGTTGGCCGTATTCAGATCCTTCACGGTGCTGCTCTGCTCGTAAAAGATCGCCCGCTATAATCTGTATATAGATTAACGAACAAGCTGTATATGAGCGAAAACGTACCAGAAAGATGACAAAAACCGAGATCTTCAACAAGACGGGCGCATTGAGTGCCTTTTCCTTGAAACAAAAAAAAATTGAAAAGAGCTAGCGAGCACAAGGGGCCAACGTACCCGCCCCAGGACCCCCAAGAACAAATATAATAGTCACTTTATCATCAAAGGTCGTCGAATGTGAATGAAGATGCAATGCATCAGCAATTTTTTGGATAACAGGCATAACTAGTTATTCTCGCGAGGACGTGAAGGAGGAACAAGAGGATGGTCAAGTTGTCGAGGATATTGCGACGCTGGGTTTGTCTTTTCTCTGTACTTGGTCACTGTGTAAAAGATGATAAAAGAACTGAGAGAAAGGCCAACGAGGACAAAAGGGTTCGGAAACTTGTTGGGTTTCGACATGAAGTGTTTGGTCATTTATTTGTATCTTGACTATGGATTTTGTTTATAATTCCATTGGCAACATATACGTCCTCAAAGCTTCACACAACGAAGATTTGGTGGCAATTGGCGGAGACCATTCTGTAGAGGTTCTACAAGTGGTATGAGCGTTATTCTTTTAATTTTTTCTCTGTTTGCCAAACTTCGCTTTACAGGGCGCATCTTCAATATCCTCACTTGCCTCTTTCCACATCGGAACGCGCATAACTGCCATAGCTTGGTCTCCTCGCTCCGTATCTCCTTCTTCAAGTGACGACTGGATTTTTGAGTAAGTATATCCATTCACACCGCGTATTCGCGTACAACTAACCCACCAAGACTCGCCGTCGCAGGCGCCGATTTTGGTCTCCATCTTCTTACCAAATCTGCAGCCCATCCAGTAGAAAATGTATTCCATTTCGGTGGAGGACTTAGTGGACACCATGGCAAAGTAAACGACATGACATTTTGCGGTGGATCTGGAGTTGAACCTTCGCGTTATGTGGCTACTGTATCAGGCAAGTGAACGCGACTTTTTCTTTTTCACAGCTGATAACGCGTGTCGCATGTGCGTAGATGATAAAATGCTCATGGTCTGGGATTTAACACCTCACGACACAGACACCCAATTAGACATCAGTTCTTTCGACCGCCCACAACCCTTTGTCATGGCATTAGCCTATTCTCACCCTCTAACATCCATCGACTCTCACGCAAGTACTTCTAAAGAACTCCTCATATCTGACTGTCGGGGCACAGTCTACATCACTGACTGGCGGTCAGACCCCGGACCTATCTCGGAACAAGAAGCCTGGCGCAATTCAAACATTTTGGAACTCACAGACCCTCATGCTCTTTCCGAAGCTTCTGTTGGCGTTTCTCTCAGCCTTTCTGGCTCTGTTGCTTGGCGTCGGGATTCTCCAGACATGTAAGTCTGTGAAAGCCGAGATTATAGTTATAGCAACTCATCTGGCTCGATCAGTATCGGAGCTGTGTATGGCTCAAAGTTTTCACTTTGGGATCTCTCGCATTTACAAGGTGGGAAGCCCTTTGCTACAAGTAGCAGCTTTTCACAAGGTGGTCACAGATTTCGGCATGTTCCTCTCATTCTCTCTTTTTTTACTCCACTGACCGAATATCAAGGTGGTGCCCTACATATCCCGAATACTTCGCCATCTCGACACAATCGCCGCTCAAGGGTGCCATCGTAAACGTCTACAATACCAACTATGTCTACGCACAGCCTACAGTGTTCAACATTTCCTCGAGACCACAGTTTGTGCGTGACTTTGACTTTCTCGGTACTCGCGGGATCCCGAGATTGGTAGTAGCAGTTGGACGTTCTGTATTCATCTTTCCTATTGGAGTGGATTAGCCAGCGGTATGCTAGCTTTGTTTCTGCTTTAGGCATGGTGTCTGGATTATGTAGAGTTCAATTGAGTTACCGGGCAAATCCTGCACAAGTCAGAAGCTGGTCAGAAGTGTCACACGCCCAACTGAAATCAATTATTCCACCCTAATCAAAACATGAAGAAAGCGGGGTATAAGTATAGATAACAAACAACATGCAAGAAATGATACAAGCATCATGCGAGAGAAGATCGTTTGTATGTCACTCGCCCTGGATCTAGTGTCCAAATACTACCAGCCAAAGTTGGAAACTGGGATAGGATACGGCGCATTGTGATTCAAATACATCCCTTCCGCGACATTCATAGGGCCATTCATATTCATACCATTAAGGTCGGTAAATATCTTTCTCCAGTACTGCTGGTCGTTCTCAGGGTAATCCATGGGCGCTGGAGGCATATGCTCGGGACTCTGATTCTGAGACGGACCTCCCACAGTGTGAGGTACAGATATAGAGGGCGGTGCAAGTGAATGCGAAGGGATATTACTGTAGTCATCTTCACGAGGGCGTCCAAAGTTCATTGGGACAGGCTGCGTATACGGGGTTGGGGCAAATTGTTGTTGTGCTGGCGGCGATGTATGCATCGCTAGATGTTCTTGTGATTGAGTGGGCGAGTGGCTATAGGTGGGAGAAGACAAAGATGAGGCCGTGGTACTTTGTAGATCTGTGAGTTACCAACAAAACAGCAAAAGATCATCTGTCAGCCAAGAAGAGGTGTAGGCTAGGGCAGTTCGCACCTTGGGAACGGGTATCCGGAGAAACGACGCCGCTGGATCTATCGGTTTTCCGGTATCTAAAAACGTCTTTTGCCAGTCCTTTAAGGAACCGGGCATGGAAGGCGGTTGCTGAAGTCGGCAAAAAGTGAGCCGATGCGTCATGGTATGCCTCTGCTGTCTGCAGAATTACAGTATGGGCCTCATCAGTAGCCCCATCATGCAGA